TGCGATTGTAGAGCTGCTTTTGAAAATGAAATCACCGAAAAGACAGTTATCTTTGCTGAACTTCGTGTTCTTTTCAATCGAATGTCTTTATCGGTGTTTTCCACGATCTAATAAATAAAGATTAGTTAGAGAACCACACTGAAAATCAGTATGGAGTGCTGGACAGCTGTTTCATTTTAGTTTGGGATTCATCGTCAGCATGCACTCACCAAGGCTACAGGACGAATTTTTAACTAGAGTTCAAGTAAGGAATGATGACCACTGGGGTCCATCGGTTTGGAAGTTAGGAAAAGCACTCACCAGCGGTGACATTTTCTGGTGGCAGTTGTGTCGGTGGCGCAACGGTTAGGACTTTCGCCGACCATGCACGTGGTCCGAGGTTCGATCCTTTGCCGATGCACACCTGATATCTATGGTCGGCCTGCAAAATTTGGGCTACCGATATCCATGCTGAAAATTCCATATTTGTGCTGGAAGTACGGTGTGGAATCAAGCTGTAATCAAAATAAATAAGTATGTCATGAATAGGTAGGAGTTAGAATTGATGGACTGGCCATTGAGTTAGGTGGGTTCCATTGGCTGAATGGTCTACGAGCTCGATTTGTAACCAAAGGCTCCTGGGTTTGAAATTCAAGGGGTGCTTACTGATGATGAGTCGCAAACTAGGACAAAACAGTTGTATTTTACTCCCTGGCGGTTTCCAGGGATTCTGTAACTGAGACCTGAGAGGCGTGGACGTATCAATGACCCTAGAAAGAGAATTTTTTTATTTTGATTACAGCTTGATTCCACACCGTATTTTTGGTACAAGTGTGGAATTTTCAGCGTGGATATCGGTAGCCCAAAATTCGCAGGCCGACCATAGTTATCGGGTGTGCGTCGGCAGGGGATCGAACCCCGGACCATGTGCATGGTCGGCGAGAGTCCTAACCACTGTGCCACCGACGCTAACAGGCGGATTTCCTCCGCTAACTCAACCCTATCCCTAATCTTTTCTCAACCTGAACAACCCTAATATCTTCCGAATCAAGTTAACCTAACCCTAAGCCGTCTCTAGTTGAAACCTAACCTGACCCTCATTCAACACATTTTTACACGAATATACGGTGTGTTATTTACGTGGTATCACTGCCTTGCTGTGAATGAGTGTTCCAAAGCCACTGGTGAATTCTAGCCTGCCGGGTGTCTAAAGTTCAACTTCACCGAATTTGTATCTTAGTCATGTGCAACTGGTACTCTTTATGTAATTGGTGACTGTCTCGACTGAATTACCCAATTTGATGTCTGATGACATGAGAAGCTGGTGGAAATACAACTACTTACTAGGGGATGTAAATATATATCCAGGTAACGACGCACGCGTATCAGTTAAGTGCTTCAGGGGTTCATTACCAAAATAGTCACCAGTCGTGTAGGTGATTCAGAGCTTGATCCCTTGCCGATGCCTTCCTAGACGCCACATAGTCTATTATCAGCTCAGTTAACAAGTTAGGTCGAGCTATATGAGGTTAGCTACCTCATCCTGTGAAAACCACAACGCCACTGCTAGTGAAACGTCAAACCTTGTTCCACTCGAGACACATGAAGAATAAAAACAAAACGAGTCTCAATTGCCACTGCTAACAACAGTTCATTAAAGGTAACTGGGTGGATTGTAAATAACGTGCTCACTTTCCACTTCTGTGAAGTTCACCGAAGTATGTGGCTTATACACAGGGCACACTATAATCTCTGAAGACATGTAAATCACTCATAGATGAAGTACTATTCATTAGGTGTTTACAGCTTGAGGTTTCACCTGACTATCTCAGTAGGAGAACTGTCTCTCCCTCTCTATTTCTCTGAAAAGAATCACTGAAAAGTATCAATAACTTAAGAGTATTAAGAAGATTCTACATGAAGCACTTTACATTCAAATTGCTCAAGGTAGAACTAAATTTTATTGTGAAAATATTCAAAATTATGAAGGATTTTGCCTTCTTAAAACACACTCTTTCACATTTAATTCAATTTAGATTTTCTCCTCGATTGATTGGACTGAAGTGCTAGGTCCCAGGTTGACATGTCAACTCCTTGTGCAGATACTTCGACGATGTCTGGTCATGTGACTTGAAGTTAGTTTGGTGGATGATACCTAGCAGTGGAATCCAGGACAACGAGCATTTCTTCCTACTCGAGACGGATCATCTAGATGTACCTTCACTTCCCAGTGAGTGATGGTGTTCCCACCGAGGCTTGAACTCACTGCCCACAGTTTCAAACGCCGAAGCGTTATCCACTGGACCACTCAAATCACGAGAGCCGCCTTTTGTGCAAAGAGTTTTATTAACTATATGGACTGGGCTCGAGCCTCGGTGGGAAAACCATCACTGACTCAGTTGGGAATGCAGGTACATTCAACTGACAAATAGTCCCAAATAGGACGAAATGTGCGTTAGTCTGGATTCCATTGCTAGTAACCATTAACCAGTTGACTTCATACTTTAAAAAATTAGTCAATTTTATGTAGGGATGAGGAGTAACTCGATTATCTCCAACTGATGTTTATTCATCTAACTGACGAATTTATTGTAAATAGTCTAAGCTCAAGTGATAAATGTCCATTATTGGTGTGAACGATGAGTCACGTTTACTGATAGAAGAGCTTTCATCATCGTCAATGTACAAACGTATGAAGTCTGAAGAGATCTGAAAGACTGCTGAATTCAATGATCAAGCGTATTAGGGAAGGTTAAAGCTTTAAAAAACGGATTGAAGCGTACACCTTCGCCTTGTAGGACTTTTTGTATCACAGAAGCGTTTGCAATGACAATCGAAATATACAAATAATAATAGTTTCCATAGTGTAAACTTTAAAAGGTGTTTTCCATTCCCGTATAAAATGAAGTTAGTCAGAAAAATTGTTCAATAGATCATGGAGAATTTGTAAAAACTCTGAATCGATATCCCGAGAGGTTTATCAATTAAGTTGGTAAAGAAGAAAGACCCAGTAAAACTATCCGCACAATTTCATAGATAGCTGTATACATCAGTGTGCTATTTAAAGAAGATGATATACAAGAAATAGTCCGACGAAGACTTGATAAAGCTGTTAAAAGAATTTATACATTATACTGTATACTGTAACACCGCCACAAAGCGTATGTTTCAACAATCTGGGTAAGACCAATTCGCTAGTCTTCGAAACTTCACACTACGTATATATATATATATATATATATATATATATATATATATATATATATATATATCATAAAATGGACCCACACAAAAAGAAACATGGAGGATCTGAACTTCGCCGATGATACATATCTGATTTCCCACAAACTGGAAGAAATGCTAGTGAAAAGCAACAAGTTGGCGATAGAAGAAGCATCAAAGATAGGACTTCAGGTGAACACAGAGAAAACAGAGGTGATGAAGATTCCTGGCCAACACCAACAGCACCAACAACAGACAATAATCAGAATAAATTGGAGGAACCTGAAAGAAACAACCTCCTTCACCTACCTGGGAAGCATCGTTTCACCTACAGGCGGACGGAAATGGTGAGGATATCAAAGCAAGGGTCGGGAAAGCAAGGCAAGGCTTTCATCTCTTTCACCAAGTCTGTGTGGAGATCAACATTCAGTACTTAGTGTGAAAAGTAATGTCCGGATTTTAAACTCCAGTGTGAAGTCAGTCAGTGCTACTATACTGAGCAGAGACTTAGCGCATCATAAAGACCACCTCAAACAAACTACAGACCTTCATTAACAGTTATCTTCGCTCAATACTACTCAAGATCAGATGGCCAGCCAGAAAACATCAGCATTAGTGAGGGATCTCTGGGAGCAAACCAACCGGGAACCGATTGTGTAACAAATAAGCAGGAAGAAATGAAGGTGGGTTGGCCATACCCTGAGGAAACCATCAAGTGACATCACTAGACAAGCTGTCGAATGGAACCCGAAAGGGAAGCGGCGAGTTTATCGTTCGTGCAAGGGTGACTTGGAGGAGGTCATGTGGAGAGGAGATGACAGCGTTGGCAGAGAACGGAAGGCAATGGAGACGCGCGGATGAAGCCCTATGTTCCTCTAGGAATTAAAGGAAACAATAATATATATATATATGTATATATATATATATATATATATATATATATATATATATATATATATGGGTTGTACGGAAAGGCAATCGTCTATTCGCACGATGGAACATTTTCATAAGTTGGTAACAATAAAAGTTGAATTCTAGGTACCAAATGGTTCGATAACACTTACGTGATTTCGACACGCTGTCAAGTTATTGAGTGTTGTCAGAAAACAGAGAGATAAACGAACAGAAAGACGCTTGTATTTGCGGAGGCTTGTGCTGTAAGAGTCTATACAGCAGGTGGTCTCTATTATTATTATTATTATTATTATCCATATTTTTATTTTACCTACTATTATTAATACTCTTGACTCATTTAAACCTGTCTTTTTTCAGTACCATTGTCCTAACTTGCTTCATTATTATTTCGTTCGTAAGTCCTGATATTTTCAAGTTCCTTCTCTGATTACTAGCTGCTCATTTTAGTGACATAATTTGATGCGTAATCCCTTCAACTCCATTTATCGATCTAAACTTCACCTGATAACATTGAAATCTGTCGTTCCTCATGACTCACTGATCGTAGTAGTTTATCGACCTATCGGTCACATATCTCCCTGTGTAATTCCAATCGTGTATACATATATATGATTGCATGCAGAGTATTCAGCAGATGATGAGTGTTCCACCAAAACGTCTTGAATCCACTTAATCCTATCTACTTTATATATTAACAACATTTCTTGCTGCTTTCAAAAATACAGTTAGCCTTGAAGACTTTCATTTGAATAAGAATGTTCAGAAATCCACCAACCAACCTACCCATCCACTCACACATACACAATCATACACACACACACACAGAAACACTGACGCTTTAAATCACCCAATGTTTAAAACATTTTCTACTGATTAATACTTACCTCAAATATTTTATCCATAAAAGTATGATGTAACAGAAAGATTGGATCATTTGTTGAAGTGGCTGCACAACACATACTTCCATCAATCATAACATGCATTTTATTATGAAACCATCGATAAGTTGGATCAGCACCTGGTCGACCACAATAACCTTCCAATGCCATATGAAATGAATCACATCGATTACTTTCACGTTCACCAGGAACAAAAAATCTGATTTGAAAGGAACAAATAGAAAATAAATAAATAAATAAATGGAATTACTATTATCACTGTTTGTCACTACGTTTAATACTAAGGTAACAACAGAAGACAAACGCCAGGCAACAGTTCCTTTATTGAGAAAATCAATAGTTATTTGTAGATTATTATGCATATTGTTATTCGTTATTGTTAGCAGAGAAGCAGCGTCTTCTGATTGACTCTTCTTGTTGAAGGTTATTCTGTACTGTTTAAGACTGTTTTTCAGAAAGTTGAGGCATATATCTGCGAATCGTATTTGCACACGTTAAGCCCTCTGTGATTGGTTGTTGAGTTCCTCAAGGTTAAGCTTTGATTTTTTGTTTTTTCTCACGATCCTGATTCGGGACGTTGTACATTGATGTAAATTGTTGTTCCCATCACAATAATTTCTGTTTTACTCCTGTCTTTTTCTGACAGGATTCAGTGAACTTCAGTGGCGCTAGAATGTTTATCAGAAGTTTAATTCCTTTCATTTACAACGTGTAATACTGGTAAGTTTTCACCTTCAGTAATATGTTACTTTTAGGACAGACAAACTTCTTTGTAAGCCATGAATTTATGATTTATACGCATGTATACACATGACAAACATCGTTTATTGAATAGTTTTGATTGGTTTATTTATGGCTTAATTTTCTGAGATCAAATAACCAATGAGATTTATTTTAGGAATAGCTTAAATTTCCGAGGATTTGTAAATATCTATCATACTGTATATTTTTGATTGTTTTTGTTCTGCTCGTCGTCTCAGTTTTACCTAGTCCAACTTTTGCGCAGGAGTAAAATTCATGTGATCAGCGCTGTTGGTTTAATTGTCATGTTCCGGAGGTATATTCCACTCAGATTAGGCGAACAGACAAGGCAGTAATACTCCATCGTCATGACAGTTATGCTATTAACAGTGTTTGATATTTTTCAACCATGTAATCAAAGATCCCTTTTCTTACACCGAACTGTATAATGTACCGGTTCAGTCTGTTCGACCTTGTGTTTGGAAACTGATTCCAGTTGTTAGTTTGCCAGATGTTAAACATTTTGTTTGAGTACTACACTAAAAGAATATGTTATATTTTCCAAGATAACTCCATCAAATATGGATGTTGTCATCACAACATTACAAAGGATAGGAACATCCAACTGACGAGTCTAAAGTCAGTCGAAATGCATCTCTTGAATTCCAGTGTCAATTATCATCAGCTAAATAACTGCTTGCTTTATGATTTCAGTCATTTCTGAATAACCAGCCTCTTTTATTCATTGTGTTCTCCCTCAAAATTTCTGTTCTATTCGTTATTGGCAGAATTTAGAATTCATTAGTCAATGAGAGCACCCACAAACAACGCAGACCTCGAGAAGAAAGAAGAATTCTACAGGCAACTACAGGCAACAATGGACAATACTCCAGCTGGCGACATGAAAATACTAATGGGAGACATGAACGCCAAACTGGGACCAGACAATACGGGAAGGGAACTCATCATGGGTAGAGAAGCTCTAGGAGAAATGAATGAAAACGGAGAACTCTTCGCCGACTTCTGCGCCTTCAACGAACTGGTGATTGGTGGCAGTGTATACAAGCACAAAGATATCCACAAGGCTACATGGGTGTCACCAGACGGGCAAACCAAAAACCAAATCGACTTCATCTCAATCTCAAGGAAGTGGAGGCGCAGCCTACTGGACACAAAAGCAAGAAGAGGAGCAGACGTTGGCTCAGACCACTATCTCGTACAAGGGACAATCCAAATCAAATTAAAAGCTTTCAGGGAATCAGGAGCTGCAGATAGACCACAAGCCAAGTTCAACACTCAAAAGCTGAAGGACCAGGCTACAAAGGACATCTTCATTGCAAGCATAAAGGACAAAGCCGAGACACAAATCAACACTAGCGAAGAGGTCGGCGTTGAAAAGCACTGGAACAACTTGAAAACGGTGTGGAGCCAAACCTGCATAGAAATTCTAGGCAGAAAAAAGAGACAGGACAAACAGTGGCTCACTACGGACACTTGGAAACTAATAGAAGAGAGAAGGACAGTGAAGCAAAAGATTATCCAGTGCACGGACGAGCAACAAAAACAGGAGCTGAATGCAAGCTACAATACACTGAACAAAAGAGTGAAGAAAAGTGCCAGGGAAGACAAAAGAAAATATTATGAAACCATGGCAAACGAAGCAGAACAAGCTGCAGGCAAAGGAGACCTCGCCACACTCTACCAAACAACTAGGAACCTTTCGGGCAAACGTTCGACACAGATTAAGCCAATAAAGGACGACAATGGAAAGTCAATCACCAAAGAGGTGGAACAGAGAAAGCACTGGGTTGAACACTTCAAAAGACTTCTAAATCGTCCGCCACCTACAACACGTCCAGCAATACCAACAACGGAAGCAGAACTACCAGTGAACACTGACCCCCCGACGAAATCAGAAGTCCTGAATGCAATCAAGATGCTTAAAACTGGGAAAACACCGGGACCAGATGGAATCCCAGCAGAGGCTTTGAAAATAGACCCAGAGACAACAGCGGACTTGATGACACCACTACTGGAGAAGGTGTGGAAAGAGGGCAAAGTACCCGAGGATTGGAAGAACAGTTACTTATTCAAACTTCCAAAGAAAGGAGACTTAAGTCAATGTAAAAACTGGCGTGGAATTATGCTTCTGTCCATTCCAAGCAAGATACTAAGTCGCATCATCCTGGAGAGAATCAAACAAGCCCTAGATGAAAAACTTCGTCCGGAACAGGCTGGATTCAGGAGAAACAAATCATGTATTGATCAAATCGCCACTCTACGGATCATCATTGAACAAAGCTTGGAATGGCAGTCACCTCTCTATCTCAACTTCATCGACTTTGAAAAGGCCTTCGACAGCGTCGATCGAGAGGTCATTTGGAAACTACTTCGCTACTACGGGGTCCCATCGACAATTATACACCTCATCCAACAGTTATACGACAATGCTGCATGCCAAGTAATCCACAACGGGAAACTTACGGAAGCCTTCGAAGTGAGGACGGGAGTGAGGCAAGGCTGTCTACTATCACCAATGATCTTCCTGATTGCAATTGATTGGATAATGCGACAGACAACGGCAACCAACGAGGGAACAGGCATAAAATGGACTGACACAAAAGACTTGGAGGATCTGGATTTCGCCGATGATATATGTCTGATTTCCCATAAACTGGAAGATATGCAAGTGAAAAGTAACAAGTTGGCAGAAGAAGCATCAAAGATAGGACTTCACGTGAACATAGATAAAACAGAGATAATGAAGATTCCTAGCCAACATCAACAACACCAACAGACCACAATAAGCATAAATGGGAAGAACCTGAAAGAAACAACCTCCTTCACCTACCTGGGAAGCATCGTCTCAACTACAGGCGGAACTGACGAGGACATCAAAGCCAGAATCGGAAAAGCAAGACAAGCTTTCATTACTCTCAAATCTGTGTGGAGGTCAACAGCAATCAGCATCAAAAATAAGATCCGGATTTTCAACTCCAATGTGAAGTCAGTGCTACTATACGGATCAGAGACTTGGCGAGTCATAAAGAGCATCTCAAACAAACTTCAAACCTTCATTAACAACTGTCTCCGCTCAATACTCAAGATCAGATGGCCAGAAAAGATCAGCAACAGGGATCTCTGGGAGCGAACCAATCAGGAACCGATTGTGAAACAAATAGGCAGAAAGAAATGGAGATGGATTGGCCATACGCTGAGGAAACCATCAAGTGACATCACTAGACAAGCCCTCGAGTGGAACCCGAAAGGGAGGCGGCGAGTTGGTCGTCCAAGGGTGACTTGGAGGAGGTCATGCGAGGAGGAGATGAAAGCATGTGGACAGACCTGGAGCAGGTTGAAAAAGTTGTCAGAAAACCGAAGTCAATGGAGGTGCGCAGCTGAAGCCCTATGTTCCTCTAGGAACTAAAGGATACAATAATAATAATAATAATAGTCAATGAGATCGCCTCATAGACTAGAAGTCCTTGGATCCATCCCCAATGGATTCACATATGTGTTCTGTAGAGTCTGGAACTTGGACGAAACAAGTGCCCCTCTAAATAATATCAATTCGTAATCAGCTCTTGTCGAATGGATATCTTGATACTGCCATCAAGATTAAAAATTTATTCAATGTTACTTATTTAATAGTATCTAGCTGTGGACACACATTAGTGGAAAGCAAGTACATTAGGTTGATGAATCTCAGATAGGACAACAGCTGCATCCTAGATTCTCCTACTAATTACTATCGAAATAAATAACTTCAGAAATACACTTTGTGATTTTATATTTTTCAGTAATTAATCGATAGGAGTCAAGACAGTTTATCTTTCGGACACTGTTAAAGCATAACTCGTTCAGAGGTTACTACACATAACTGGGTGCTATAAAAACGAAGATTAGTCAGTAGCACAGAGGTAGAATGCTCGCCAACCACGCCTCATGTGGTTCGGGATTCGATCCCCGGCCACCACCGCACCTTTTTTACATCTCTAAGCTAGTAATAAGACCAGTAAACATGGAAAATTGAGCATTTGACTAGCTACCCCATCCTGTAAAAATAAATACCGCTGTGAACGAAACTTGAAAGCTTTAACTTGTAGTCTTAAATAAAATCTGAGGGTATTTTGTGGGGAATATCAGAACCTTTTTAATGAAATTGAAGGATGAGTTCATTATTTTTCTTTATAGGCATAAAATATCATAAGGCTTCTGATTAAGTCATTCCTTGCTTACATGGTCTTCTGATGGTGCATAAAGATGGCATCCTTCTAGAGTCTATGCAGGTCAATCTACGAGAAAATAGCTTATTGAATTGCTTCAACAGGCTTTTGAACACTTTTGACTTCGTCAGTTATATTAATGGAGTTTATATTATCGGTAAGCATATACATTTTGTCACACATCTGTTCTGCATTTACAAATTTACCGCTAATAGAAACTATGTATTATTTC